CGAAGTTACACAAGACGACAGTTTGCTGTTGTCAAAGTTTTGTTGTACTTGGCGGTATTTCAATTCTTCTAAGATGATAATTGTAAATTCTCTTAACCTTGACCCTTCAACTCCAAAGATCTCATTAGTAGTTCTCCCTAATGTCTGCCATAAAATGCGTATCATTTCAGTTTAGAGAATTTGGTATTGGATCAACTTGTAGTCCCCTGACTGAGATTTCTTCTTTATTCTCCTCACTTGTCTGCTTGATTCAGTGACGATATTGTAAGGAGAAATTGTGTCTTGGTCACTGATGGGAGTTAAAGGGTTAAGGTCTCTCCTGGTGATAGAGGTGAAAACCATTTCTACGTGTACGTTTGGCCTGGCCTTGAACCGTTTTCTATCTCATAACCAACGAACGGCCATGGATTCATAGTCTAGTATTCAGGAAGGGAACACTTCTTGGAAAATGTCCACGACCCATGATAAAGTACGCTGATAAGGGTTAACGCAGAGCTCGAGTAATTCATCATCTGCGTGTTTGCGCACACACCTTGTGTTTGCAGTATTTGCTCGTAAATACAAAAAGAGTTTACCTTAGTTTGATTCGATGCCACACCCACAAGGGGGTTTCTTCGTTCAAATCATAATTGAAAAAACAAAACACACTCCACCTACAACAGAACGTTTTATTAATTTTATTTCTACCAAGTACACGTTTAACCTTCACATATTAAAACAGTCTCCGCCTTCGCACAGACTTGCGATGAAATAGATAGGAAAGGAGCCATTCAACTACTACAGCATGATTGACTTGTAAGCGGAGAAGTCTTTTGCAATTGAGATGGTGTACTGAATTTCATTTTTTCTTGCCGGTAGCTTTTTGAGCTGCCTTTGTCACTTTGCCAGCGACTTCGCTCTTATCCACATCCTTGATGACGCCTACAGCCACTGTCTGCTTCATGTCACGTACAGCAAAGCGTCCCAGCGGAGCATAATCTGAGAATTTTTCCACACACATAGGCTTAGATGGTATCATCTTAACTATGGAGGCATCTCCTGACTTGATCATTTTGGGGTTGTCTTCCAACTTCTTGCCGGAACGACGATCAATCTTCTCAAGCAGTTCTGCAAATTTGCAAGCAATATGGGCAGTATGGCAATCCAGCACTGGACTGTAGCCTGCATGAATTTCTCCTGGGTGATTAAGGACAATGACCTACCAATATGGAACAAAAAGTTAACGTTAAAACGCACTGCCTTGATGGGAGAAACCGCATGGACAATGGGACAAAAATGACCCTTACCACTCAACACCCTTCAACATCAGCATCAATATTTCTCAGGCTCTTCTCCATACCCCTTTCTTCGCTACTGACATGGAGTATTTGTCAAACAATCAAGAACTTCTTTAGTTGGTGATAATTACCTTCTTTTCTTACAACCCAAATGTTTTATTCAGGGGAGATATTGTACTGAGAAATTAGATGCTGATCGTTCTAAGGGGTTACAGGGTTAAAAGGGAAAGAAGTACAGCTAGCCAATTTTAGGATATTACCTTTGTCTCTGGAACAAAAGATCCGTGACAAGTTTCATGAAGATTTTTCACATATACATTTCATAGGGATGCAAGAACACTTTAAAATTGTAATGTAAATTGCAGAACTACCTAAAAATAAACACAAGGCTGTTCTGTCCCAAGTTTACCACTCTCAAAACTAGTACTTCTTACAGAAGAGAAATAATCCAAAGAATGACGGTATTCTGTACCTGAGCATTAAAGGAATTGGTTGGTTTTGGTGGATCATTTTTGGTATCACCAGCAACATTGCCACGTTTTATTTCCTTTACTGACACGTTCTTCACATTGAAGCCAACATTGTCACCAGGAAGAGCTTCTGTTAGAGCTTCATGGTGCATTTCCACAGACTTTACTTCAGTACTCAGGCCAGTAGGAGCAAATGTCACCACCATGCCTGGCTTCAGGATGCCTGTCTCCACTCTACCAACTGGCACTGTTCCAATACCTAAGAGTGGGTTGAAAATTGACGATTGCTTAACACCAAGCCACAACTTAAGATAATGCTACATTCCATTTTCAAATTAGGTAAATATTCATCTGAACAGGGCTCCTAGTTTAGACCAGTTTGGTCAACATGGTAACTTGAAAAAAATTTGGCAGGTTAACTGGCAATCTGTGTTTGGGGTCATATAGTAAGACTTATCAATTTTCAACTTAATTTTAATGGTCTGAGGCTGAAGTGAGATTTGCATTAAAAAACACTCATGCTTCATCGTTTCCTTTGGTCACAATTTGCTTTTCTCCCCTGAAACCCTGGAATTAAGCCTTAAGATATCCTTTTGAATCTCCAGAAAAAAAAGCCAGCCATCTTACTTACTACAATAAAAAGTTATGTGGTCTACCAGTCTTCTAAATATACACCTTTATTTGCATATATAATATGTGACAATAATTGGCAAGTTGTGATTTTTTTCCCAGAGCCCCTAAGGGGGTGAAGGAAAAAAAGAAAAAAAAAGGCAATAAGCAAAATGTTCACCATGTAGAACCATTGAATAACAGATTTATTATTC